GAAGATGATGATGAACCGAGAATTATAACTGTAAAGATAACTATAAAAGTTACTATCAACAATAACTATAGCAGTGCTATTAACTAAAACGATTTGAAACATCATTTTCAGAAAGTGAAATAAATGTCAATATTTAATGGAAAATATAAATGAAAATTAGAAATGTTACCATGGCAACTAACTGAAATAAATATGTTGAAGAAAAAAATTACGAAAATGAAAATAAAAAATAAATTACAGCTAGAAATATTTTTAAAAAATACTAATAAACATGACAAAATTACTAAAACTTAAACTCTAAAAATTAAAGCTAATTCTAAATAGAAATAAATACTATAATAGCATATCGCTTAACTCTAACGGTAACCATAACTAACTATAACCTTAACTAGAATGGTAACTATATCAGTGTTATTGTTAACTAAAACTAAAACGATAAAAAAAAATAATTTTCAGTAGGTGAAATAAAATATAAATATTAGATGAAAAATATAAACAAACATGAGAAATAACTAAAATGGGTTTCAGTTGAAGTACTAAAATTACTAAAATAAATTACAGCTAATAAAAAAAACGTCTAATGATGACAAAGACCATTAGAAAATTAAATTAAAATCTAAACTGAAAAAATATAAATATTAAAGCTAATTCTAAATATTAATGAATACTATAAGAGTTTATAAATAATAATAAAATAACACTGAACCGTAACGATAACTATAACGTGACAATAACAATTAATATAACTATAACAATAACTGCAACTATAATGATAACTATAGCAGTAACTTTAAAACGATAACAGTAACTACAGTGGTAACTGTAACAATAACTATTATAATAACTACAATGCTAAGAATAACGATAACTATATTAGCAGCACTTCAAATGCTTTGATTCTGATTGGCTGTCAATGTTTTTATCATTCATCAGCTGGAAAAAAAAATGCCTCTAAGTGATTTATGGTTATAGTTATCATCCCTGGCGTTTACTACAGACAAAGAGAGTTCGACGTGATGATGTCATTTCCTGTTTCCTGTGTCTGGTCTGTGATTTCAGACATGATGATGCGTCTCTTCTGCTGGCCGTCCTGAGGAGCCTGGCGAGCGTGAGGAGGTTTGACATGACCATCATGTTCATGTCATCCGCCGAGAAGAAACGTACGAACACACGAACACACACAAGCACTGAACACAGCGGGCGAATAAACGCAAACTCTTCTTTCTTTCAGTCTTACAGGAGCTGTTTGACTGGATTCACAGCGCCGGTCTGGGAGACGCTTCCGTTCAAGACTTACAGAAGAAATACGGCCTTTGACCTCTACAGAAATCTCTCCGGATTAGATTTACGATCAGACTGACACCTCACTGTCTGGCTTCGCTGTGACTGAATCAGATGCTCTGATTCCTCAGAACGGACGCTTGGTGCCTTTAAACGGGTTTATGTGGTTCCTGTGCAGATGAGCAGAATTTCATATGATACTATTATGAGTCCATCTAAAACGTTCACTGTCGGTTCATGTGTTTTTCTTCTGTTTCTGTAGTTCTGAATGCTGCAGTATTAAAGTCAACATGAAATCCAAACGGACTCCAGACTCCAATCCTACATTTTCTTCATTAAATGTATGTATGTAATACATTTCTAACTGTATTAAGTCATCTTTATTTATATATTGCTTTATGCAATACAGAGTGTTTCAAAGCAGCTTCACAGTGATAAGCAGGAGAAAATTAAGCAACGGTACATAATCAAATTCAGTGCGATAGTATTAAATGCAATACAGGTAACAGTGTCATTATTAAGCTCAAGTCAGTTCAGTATCACAAGTGTTGCAAAATTTGTCAGGTATGAAGCAAAGATGATTCAGCGCTATAGAAGGTAGGGCTGGGTAAAAAAATATTGATATCTCGATATTAATCGATTCTCATTTTTACGGAACGATATCGATTCTTAAATCCCAAGAATCGATTAGTCTAGCCTGTTTTCAGTTAATGGACGGGACTTTGAAGGGCACTTCGCATCCAATAAATCGCAATAAGCATTGTGCTTTG